CTATATGTTGGGTCTCAATAACACGCTCCCTTCATTAATGCTGGACCGACGTAGAGGAAGCGATTTCCCCACGTACCTTTTGTTTTCATTTGCACCCTATGTCGGCCATGTGTGTGTGTCTGTGTACTGATTATTTATGAAGTCATGGAAATGCGTGATCGTATTCAGACCACTACTTGTACTGAGCAAATGAACTGTGAGAGTTGAGGTTTTGAATTTCACTTATGTCACCGCACTATACTGCCAACTTAACGTAAATGTTGTTAAACCCGCTCACAGCTTGTAAGCTCTGCGATTTCGGTAGCGAGGAGTTCTTTTGGTGTGCAGTTTACCTACAGCACAGCTAGTAGAGGAAACATATCAACTCAATCCAAAGTTATTTCATTCATTTGATGAATTTCTGCAGCAACCTCCATCCCTCACCAATGACAAACAGACAAACTTGACTTCATTATTTCAGCATATATTGCAGAAAAAAGGCCGGCATCTAAAGAAGACATACAAATGTCAATCAAATGCATTTCTGCATTCAAGTCTAAAATGACTTCGAGAGGAAGTTTGGGTAGATGGAGAAACATATGTGAAAGTAAGGAAGTATGGATTGAAATGCTACTCACTAGAGCAGGGGTCTTCAACGTTTTTTAGGCCAAGGACCCCCAAACTGATAGAAAGATGGAGTCGGGACCCCGACTATATATATTGTATAAAATTGTGTTTTATATTAAACTAGGCCTAGTACCGTGAATACCTCTTTATTGTGCATTCAAATAAGACACAGGTTCAGATATTCATGTTTTTATTTTAAACATGTGCAAGGTACAGTGAGGAGGGTGGCCGTGCCACTGCCATTTATAAACACCTTGTCAGCTGATACCAACAATATCAACATTGTCTGTCAATTGCATGATAATCATGCATACAAGCTATTCACATTGACGTTTTCATTTTAAACATAAATGTGGAAACGAAACACATTACTAGTGCTGATCAGCCCGATTGGGTTTGTGCTATGGCAGAGAAACACTTCTCTTCTGAGGACCGTTGAGAGATAATACTTACTGTATTTCTAACTTGAGTGAGTGGATTAGATCCCCCTGGTTGCTGAATGAGGTCATTTTGGTAATGAATGATATCTCTTTTCAGTTACAGATGAGGTGGATTTCCATCAGTTGAGGACATATACATTCAGGGTCAGCCATTGACCTAAGAAAAAAAAGCTTTGCAGTCCTGTAAAGAAGACCCAAGCTAATTGAAGCTATCTTGGGGGGGGGGGTTAAACTAAAAAACTGCAGGACAAAAATGATGGTATATCGCATTTTTCACACATTGGTCAGATGCCATTAATATGAAAACAATGTGAATAGTCTAAAGTCTGATGGATTCTCAGAACACTTTATTTTTAAAAGGCTCTAGGAACGATCTGAAGGGACACTGTGGCTTCACGGTTGTTGTTTGCCAACAGGAAGTGCTAACAGGGCTCATGGACAGTTTATGTGGTCAGCGTTGGAATGTGTTTATGGCAGATTTGGCACATTTTCAACACAGATTTGATGCCATTTTCTGTCATCCAGACCCATCTGCTTAAGCGTCTTTGGCCAAAGAAGTTTCCAGAAACTGTTATTCATCTGTACCCCCCAGAGTGAAGAAATAAAATGCGATGAGGGATGATGGTGGAGGAAAAGTAGTAGTTCAAAATGCACTACTACATTTTAGCAAGACTTTAATAGGACTTTAAAGTTCTCTGAAAAGTGTGAAAGAGTGAATGGTAATATGTAAGAAAGGTTGTGAATGAAAGTCAAACATAAAGTGTGATGGGCACAGGGGGAAAAACACCAAGATGTTATACAATAGTCAAAGGTCAGTCTGGCCTTTTGTGGTCCACAGTACAGGTTTCGTGCAGTTAATTTAAAGCCAACTACATAGTTATGGACTATGAAATGTTCTGGAGCTTTATTCATCTATTCACCACAGGCTGAGAGATGCTGACTTATCACAATGGCAGCCATGTTTGGCGACCATCACGGTTAGTTGTCACCGGCTTCATGCGGAACTTGCCGCTAACATCTGTGATTCACCACGACTTTAATCCGTTAAATTAGTGCAGCAATAAATCTCAGGAAACTTCAAGCATCTCCTCTCGCTCCCTATTAGAAACAGTGATGAGTATTTGTTACCATGTGTGCACCACTGATACCTCTGTCATATGGATCCCATATTATTCGAACTCATCGATACAAGTTTTCAGCTAAATTAAATTCAATACGGTAATCTGGGAGTACCTTTCAGCTAATATGGATGCATCTGCAAGGACCTTTGGATTAACACTGGGACTTTCCCCGTCACATGAGGCCACATCCTCTCCTGTGATCTTCTGTTATAATGTCTTCTTTCTTTCCCCCCTCCCTCTACTCTCTTTTCACCTCCTCCTTCGCACCCCCTCTCTTTGCTCTCCTAAAACCTCCTGTTTTCTCCTTTCCTCTTCCCTCTTCTCCTTCGTTTCTTGCCTCTCCTCCCGCTCTCCACCCCCACCGCCTCTCCTTTTGGTATGTTAGCAACTAATGTAGCTTGGGGGGGCTCTTCAATTTGGAGAAAGCCTTACCCCCTGCATTGACCCCCTGCATTGACATCTGTTGCCTGCTACCAGTGAGTCACACACACACACACACACACACACACACACACCCCCCTTAGGTCATTAAGGACTCCTACCGGTGTGTCCTGTAAGCAGTTTAGTTCCCTGGTGGACGGGTAATATACAGCTGTGTTTGTGCGTGTGTGTGCGTGCGTGTGTGTATGTAGGGGTGTGTGTGTCGTTGCGTCAGCTGTTTTGTGCCTGGTAAGCCAGAGTTACAGTTTCCAAGCTTGGGAACAGTATGTTAGCTAGCTCAGGGACGAGGATGTGCTCATTACACAGGATATTGATTAAAGGGAGAAATCAGGTTTAGGTTAGGTTTCGTCATTCTTTACTTACTGCTTTAATTACTCTATTAGTCATTTGTTTATGCTGTTTAGGAACAAAACAGCATAAACTTATTAAAACAAAAAAGATAAAAGACAGACCAAAATATATCAAACTAGGAGTTTTAAGTGCAACCCACAAAACAAACTTTTGTGGACACCATACTTCATATCAAAGACATGGATTAACAAACATAAAACACATATTTGTATAGATTAGTACATTAGTACATACACAATTTTGTCATCTTATTTAGTTGACAGTGACCTGAACGTGCATTGAAAAGATGAACAAACAGTGACTCAAATCATCACAAACTCTGCATATCTCTTTGCTTGGAGCAGTTTGACATGCGTTTTAAAGACATGCAATGTGCAGCGATACGGTAGGAGGAGAGGAAAAGTAGGTCTGTGGTGCTGCAACGCTTCTTGAAGTAGTACTCTGATTCATATTTCCATTAATTTTACTGAGAACTCACTACTGTTGATTCACATTGAAGAATCACATGTTTTCAAGTGCGTGCGCAGTAAGTTTCGTTTGCATGATTATACAGTTACTTTACAGGGTGTTCCTGTGGCTGTCTGGTTAGCATAGAAACACACACGCAGGCAAGGTGTGTCTTTACTGTACTACACACGCACACACACGCTCTACAGCCTCGAAGAGAAATTACACGTTCAGTTTAGGGGCTTGTTTTTCATTAACCTTTATTTGTCCGGGTTAAGCTGGTTGAGCAAACGTGCTGTTCACACACATTCACACCGTAAAAGAAAACATCAGACAGATATTTATTTCCAGCAACAGTTCTTATATTTTGTTGAGTCTTTTAGGAAGTCTAAAACGTAGAAGACAGTTGAGGATGAATTTGGTGACTTTAGCAGATGAATTGCAGCTCTAGTTTTTATTTAAAGATACTGAACGCACCCATACATCTACCTCACGCCTGAAGGAAATGTGAAGAGTTCCAACCCTTAAAGTTATCAAATCAATTATTGAGGCAATCAAGGCGTTAGCTGTGCAGTCCTAATGTGTTGAAAAAAAAAAAAAAATATATATATAACTCAGCCGTGTCACTGCTCTTCAAAACTAAAGAAAAGCTTTTTGGGGCCTCCCCTTATAGTTGCTGTTGCTATGCCTGTCTGTCCTTGCACATTATACTTATAAAGCAGATGACTGCATTTCTTAGTGATTTTTGAAACAACAGGTCCTTGATTTATGACAAAAGTAGAAAAAAAACTGCTTATTTTCTATTTAAGAGCGGAACGAGTGGATCTGGTATGTGCTGGCTTTGTCAAGGTTGAAAGGAATGATTACGTTTGCTGTCTTGGTTCGGACGATGGAGCCTCCATGTTGGTGTACAATATAGTCTACGTTGTTAATAAGTGAGTGGTTGATGCCTTTATTCAAGGAACAAAAGTTTAGAAAAATGTACCTAGCTCCGGAAGGAAATTACATCGCTTTTCGCCAGCAATATTTACGTTCTGTGTGAAAGTATTAATTAATTAATAAAAAAGAAAACGTCCCCGGCTTAAAGGCCCTAAATCAAAACTGCAGCCGGACATGCTAACGATTGCATGTTATATTAGAACAGAGTCTATTTCTTGCACTTGCTTTGCTGTTTCTGTTTTTTTGGTAAGACAAAAAAAGGGCACGTATCGCTCTCCCTCAGCCTCACACCACTTCAACACTCAGCTCACTGCTGTCTGGTGTGCAGGGAAATATTTGAAGTCAAATTGGCGTAAACGTTACAGCTACATGCGATAATACGTGACTCACATCCATACTAACCAACTTTACAGCAAGTTACAGCAATAAATCATGCACAACTTCATGCTTGTATCTCAATCCTGCTGTCTGCAGGTTGAACTGGAGGCTGTCAGTCCATCAGTGATATCACAAGATTCCATTCGAGAATGGAATCTTGGATCTAGAATTCTAGAGCCCATCATGTTCTGTGTTCACACATCTCTCTTGACTCAAAAGACCTGTTGAAGCGTATGAGACAAGCCAACAAAAAAACTCTCTCACTAAGAAAATCAAGATGAGCAACTGGGGCAAATCGTCACACATGTCAAGCTCATTGTTTAATGAGCTCCGCCTGGAGGGGCAATTTTGCGACGCAGTCATCAAAGTGGAGGACGTATCGTTCGCAATCCACAGGGTCATCCTGTGTAAATGCAGCCCGTACTTCATGTGAGTTATTTTTCTGATACCAGGGGGAATCTTGTGAATGTATATCCTTCAAATGTGCAGAAAGTAATAGTTAATGATCTGAAGTCTGAGAGACTAATCACACAGTATGTAATGAGTTACATAGGTTCATGTAGCATTTGTGATGAAAAGAAAAGTTTGACGTACAGGAGACATCAAATATTAGGTTGGTGAAAGGTAAATGAAGGTTCTTGCTGCCATTCAGTTGATTACAACTAAATACCAACCTCCATGATGTGACATTTGGGAGTGTTTGGGAGTACATTGATTGCAGATTGCAGTTTTTTTTAATTTAAGTTGGATTTATTATTTGAACTCCACAGTAGTCCTCAGTTCCATAGTACTGTGCTTTTAAGCAGATTAGTATTATGTAGTAGCATTGATTATTTTGTGTCTTCAGAAAGTGACTTAATTAATTAAAAAAAGTAATTACACACGTAACTGAGATGTTCACAGCTGCAAGAAAATGAAATGAATTGTAGATGGTGGTGAAACAACTCCAGAGAGATCACAAAAGAAAACCAAAATAAGAGACAAAATGTAATATTACATATTTGTGACATTTATTTGACAGTGCTGGTTACACTCTCTGCTTTTGTGTATGTTCACTTAAAAACATTATTATTGTTATCAATGTGAAGATGAGAAGAAAAATCTGAAGTCAGTTTTTTTAATCCTCTGCATGTGTGTTCATCTTGACCCACAGCGCTCTCTTCACACACACGCCACATCCAGACAAAAAGGTCTTCGACATACCCGGCCTGTCTCCTGAAGTGATGCAGCTCATCATTGAGTTTGCATACACCGGCTCTGTTTCTGTGACGGGGGAAAACGTGCAGGAGCTGCTGCTGGCAGCCAGTCAGTTCAACATAATGGGCGTGGTGCAAACTTGCTGCGACTTCCTGGAGGAGCAGCTTTGCCCAGAGAACTGCATCGGCATCTTTCAGTTCACCGGCATCTGCTTCGTCACCGACCTGCAGCACAAGGCCTACCGCTACATCATTGATCACTTTGAGAAGGTTGTTTTCTCTGAAGAGTTCCTGCAGCTCTCGGTGCAGCAACTCACCGACATCCTCGGTAGAAACGACCTCAATGTGAGAAAAGAGAGCATTGCGTTTGAGGCCGTCCTTCGCTGGATCGCCCATGTACCTGAAGAACGAAAAGCACACATCGCAGTACTCTTGTCTAAGGTATGATAACCTTCTGTCACCAGATTTTGATTAGACTTACATCTTCTGCATTTGGCTGATGGTGTTATCCTGATTGCAGGACAGTTAATTAAATTTTAAAGCTTTTAAAGGAATTTATTGACAATAACAGAAATATAGAAGGTCACCAGTCTAAAAGTTTTGAATATTCAAGAAAAAAAAGGCGAATATTAGCCACAGTTAAAATAATTATAAAAAGCTACAGAGGTCTGGACACTGGACTCAAGTACAATCCTGTTTTCTCTGTGTAGGTTCGACTGGCCTTGATGAGTATGGACTACATGAGGATCAATGTGATGTCCAATGAGCTGGTGAAAAACAACATGAAGTGCCGGCCCATGGTCAGGGAAGCCATTGCAACTATGTGTCACTTAAAGACAAACAGAAGCTCTCATCTCTGCAACCATCTCGTCCGTCCTCGCCTGCCTAACGCCGTCCTGTTGGCCATTGGAGGCTGGAGTACCAACAATTCGACAAACTTCATTGAGGCATACGATGTCCGCGCTGACTGCTGGATCAAAGTGACAAACCATCTCGAGCATCCTCGCGCCTATCACGGCACTGCCTTCCTCAATGGGAGCGTCTACTGTGTTGGTGGCTTTGACGGTGTGGAGCATTTAAACAGCGTGTGCAGGTTTGACCTGAGAACACACACCTGGCATGAGGTGGCATCCATGAACCACCGCCGCTGCTATGTGAGCGTCACTGTGCTGGACGGGTGCATCTATGCCATGGGAGGTTTTGATGGGCACGCACGACTCTGCACTGCAGAACGCTACAGGCCCGAGACCAACCAGTGGAGTCTTATTGCACCAATGCAAGAGCGTAGGAGCGATGCCAGCAGCACAACACTCCACAACAAGGTGCGTGAAGTGAAATAGCATCTGGGAGTAATTCAAGAGTAACAGAGTAGCATGAGAGGGACTGGAACATTGCTAATTTGATTTTCTACCAGTTTGAAACAAGACTGCAATGTTGTAAAAATAACCAAATTATAAGAAAAAAGTCAAGTTACACAATTAGTGGTTCTGTTTGACCTTTCGAGGTCGTGTTGAAGTAAATGGAATAATTGGCCAGAGGGTAGTGTCATACTAAAGGTCTTCAGCAACCTAAAGGCTATGGGAAGATTTCATGATGTGTGCATGGAAGTGATAAGAGATGTGTGTGGCACTATTACATACTGTAGTTCATTTGTATGAGGATGGTGTAAGTAGAAAGGCCAACATGTTAAACATTTAACACATTTGACTACTTATTACGTGTATGGCACTGACATAGACCTAACTAGTTGATTTAATGTAATCACATTCTAAACAGTTTGATTGTAGCTTATCTTAGGTTTGTAATAATGATAATAATTTAAAGAAATATTAGCATGATAATACAAAGTATTAGATTCTAGACCCTAATGGATTTAAAGACCAATACCAATATTGATATTTGAAAGTTAAAAAAAAAAATCAGTTGTACGATTCTCAGCTGTAATTCACGAATCAACTTGCGATAGAGTAGAAATGTATCAGTTTAATTTATAACCAGTTGAAGCTAAGACCCTCTGTTCTCCCCAGGTTTACGTTTGTGGTGGTTTCACTGGAACTGAGTGCCTGCAAACGGCTGAATGTTACAGCCCAGAGACCAACCAGTGGACAATGATTGCCCTCATGAACTACCAGCGCAGTGGAATTGGCATCATTGCATATGCAGACCATGTCTATGCAGTAAGTACATAAAACAGTGACACGCTAACTGTGTGACATACGAGGAGATTTGGTCAGCAGTTGTTTTTTTAGTCTCAGAGAGTCAGAAAAAGTTGAGTTGCAAGTGTTCTTTTTTGCAAGGGCAAAGGGTTCGATCTCAAACGTTTCCACCTTCATTTCACTTTTCCTCCCAAAGGTTGGTGGCTTTGATGGCTCCATCCGTCTGTGCAACGTAGAGGCCTACAACCCTCAGAACAACACCTGGCGCGAAGTGTCCCCCATGTCAACTCCCCGCAGCAACTTCGGCATCGAAGTGCTCGACAATAAGCTCTTTGTTGTTGGGGGCTTCAGCGGCTTCACCACCTCCTATAACGTCGAGTGCTACGACGTAACAACTGATGAGTGGACTGATGCTTGTGACATGGAGATTTCCCGCAGTGCCCTGAGCTGCTGTGTGCTGTCCAACCTCCCCAACAGGGCCGAGTACATTGTCCCCTGTGACGTCCAGTCGCTGGATGATGTGTCTTTGGAGTCCTGAGCAGTGCCCCTGTGCCAAACATAACATAATGAAATAAATTTCCTTGTGGATTAAACTGCTGTTACTCCAGAGATTTCTTTAACTTTTCAGTTTGTGCAACTTATACGTTTTATGTTCTGTGAGGAGGAGGCTGTCTCCGACCTGCAGACACAGGGTTGATCCAGAGTGCACTTATGTGCTGTATTCTTTGTATCTTGTGGATTTAAATGATACTTATGGTTCATGTATGTGTTCAGGGGGATTTGGCTCTCACTGCAGAATTGTCATTGCTGCTTCGTTATTTTAAGAGCTCCCTCACCCAGCAGAGCCCTTTTTTATGACCATTTGCTATAAATGCTCAACTCTGTCATAAGTGTTACTTCTATGTTCATGTTCAAGTTCTTTATTCATCATATGCACAACAACAATAACAGTGAAGCAGTCTTTGGCAATGAAAAGGCGCCCTCTAAAGATGCTCATTAAATATATATATAAAAAAGAAATAGAAGATCTCACAAGTAGAAACTAAATCGAAAAAAAAGAATCTTAAACATAATAGTGCAAGTTAAAATAAGGGATAAAATATAACATTAATAAAATATAAAACAATAATATAAATTGTAACTGTATCAATGAAATGTATACAGGAATGTTTGTTACAGACAGTAAGTAGTGATAAAGTGTCAAGTGATGAGCTCAAGAGTTCAGCAGTCTAATGGCCTGTGGGATGAAGCTGTCCCTGAGCCTGGTGGTGCGGGACCGGATGCTGTGCTACTGGCTGCAGGCAGAACAGTTTGGGCCTGGGGTGGTTGGTTTCTTTGATAATCCTTTTGGCGTTCCTGCTGCACCGCTGGGTGCAGAGGACCGCTACAGATGGCAGCTCCGTCCTGGTGATGTGCTGGGCAGTTTTTTGGATCAACACAATGAGCAACATCACTAACGTGATTAGTTATAGTAAGGCAGATTACCACAGCAACGTTTAGATGTTGTCATTTTCAAACATCATGCTGGGGCTCACATGTACATGCATGTGTGAGAAGATATGACGTGAAGTGCTTACACAAATACAGGCCAACAATCCCAACTGTTACACCACACACACACACACACACACACACACACACACACACACACATACATACATTGGGGAGAAGCCCTGCCATGCACAAAGCACTGAGGTTTTAAGTTGCTTGGCTGATTTGACATTCGGTTTGTTGTAAAGCACTGAGGCAAAACATTTTTTACATCCTTAAAGGTACTGTTCAGTGTCCTGCAAGAGCTGTGACACACCGTTAGTCACATCAGAAGAGAAAAAATATATAAAGTCTGTAAAGAAGAATCTGGAGGAAGAAGGAAGAAGAGGAGGATGGTAGCTTAGAGATAAGGGAAGGAGGACGGAGTGGAAGAGAGAAAGAGAGGGTTGGAAGTGTGTGTATTGAGTCGAATGTGTATTGAGAACAATTTCATGCTTATTAACACCTGTCTTACCCTCACAGTGTGTGTGTGTGTGTTGCTGAATGACCCCCCACCTTCTTTGCTTCTCCTAAATTGTGTTAACCCTCTCACATTCTCACTCCTACAATCCTCCACCTCCTTCCCTCTTATTCCTTTTGTCCCAGTTCCTTCTCCTATTTATTTATATTCTTCTCTTGCCCCCTCCCCCCCAAGACTTTGAAAAAGCACATATTGCACAAGAATCTTCACCTTTGCCCATGCACGGTCCTTCTGTTCAACTCTGATCCACATGTTTTCTAATGTGCATGTGGGCTGGCGGCTGTTCACACTCAGTAAGCCTGTTAATACGTTGATGTGTTTGGTAAAAAAATGTCTCATGCCATTTGTCTTTTTAATCTCAAACACTGCCCATGGTTTACTCACCCGCAATAAGTGAACTAATTTGACTCGACGTGCGCAGTAGTTGTTTTGGTTCAAATACCCATGATTACCTCTAGTTATGACCTCCAGTGACTCCAGTTCTTAGCCATGCTCGTGGTGGGGCTCAAGTGGTCGATTGGTCAATCTGTCAGTCCGTCAACTTTGGTACGGAGTTGAATATCTCAACAAAACAACACTGAACACATTTCACAGATAACCTGACCTAACTACTGCCATGACATTTTCATTCATGGTCCCCAGAGGATGAATTGTACTGACTCTGATGATCCTCTGACTCTCCCTCCAGTGCCACTGTCAGGTCAACATTTCAGATTGTCCAGTACTTTATCTCTTTCTCTTTCCTAAAGAACTGCAGAAAAAGCCTGGTGGGGACAACATACACTCACAGGCGTTTGCATGGCTGCGGAAACACATCTCACAAACACACACGTGGATTGACCAGAGGTCTCACACTGCAAAAACACGCATTTAGAGCACCATCTCTCAATCAAAATACCCAACAAATGCTGGAGGAGCAAGGCCACCCTGTCATTTTACTCACACAGTTCAATCTCTTCAGTCCTCATTGAAATGTTCTCATTCGGTTGAATGTCATTTTAACCTTGTTGTTTTTTGAATATTGCACATTTAAGGCCAGCTATGCCCATTACAGTAGAGCACTATTCACAGAGAAGAAGATTGAGAGAGCTAACTGGCAACTTTGCGCAACCAAAGATGCTCTTTGCCAGGTGGCATGTTGTCCATTAGCAGTTAACGGTTGGCAGATGTACTTTCCTGATCAAGTGTTGGTTCATCCCGTTCATGTTAATCCACTATCAGTACCAGGCTTCATCCCATTTTCAGCGCTTTTGACTGATGTTGTCTGAGGGAGACCCATGCGGAGAGGAAGAGGATGTGAGAGAGAAAGAGAGAGAGAGAGAGAAAGCTCTATAAACCCTTCAATCCATCATTATCACTAATCACATCCATGTCTGAGCCTCAGCCAAGTAAAAATCTAAACATTCCTCCTTTCAGGATTTAAATGAAAACTCCAAATCTTAGATTCAGAGATGGAGCCATGGGGAACTTGTAGAGACAGGGATCCCCAACCTTTTTTTCCCTCCGCGGACCAGTTATACATTAAAACCCTCAGAGCCCCAGAACCCGCTGGCAGAATTGAAAAAGCATGTTTTCTTTAAGCTACATCGTTTATCCTCACCATAAGCTGTAAAAAACATCATTATCGTCAGATTTTCCAACGCCCCATAAACACATCATTTGCAAGGAACGCTTCCCTCCGAAAAACCAAAACAAAGCTTAAAATTGTGTTATTTCTTCAAAAACATTTTATTCTACCTGTCTCATTTAAAATCTTGCCCCAAATAAACCCTTTACTTCAACCAAGTCCAGAAACAGCATTACATGCTGTGCTCCTCAACGCAACTAGGGAGCCATGATTTATTTACTTGAGACCAACAGTGACAACAATTCTGTGAAACTTCAAACTGCAGGCTGCTGAGCACATGGAGAGGACAGGAGAGGCTTGTAAAAATGTAAATTGTCCAATGTATATAGCACGTAGAGCCTCCATTTTTCTTTTCGACATTGTGAACACTTGTGGACTTATGTTTGATATATAGATTCCATTGTTTTCCAATTTTTGTAAAAGAAATTATCAAAGAAATTTAACTTTTTTATGATTTATGGCATGGTATCTGTGTAATACTGCACAAAAGACATTTTTGAGTTATCTCAGCTTCTAGCCATTGTTGTGCTGTTTCCATAGAGGTGCAGGACGTATAGTGCAGTGAAAGACGAGGCCACAGAGAGTTAAATGTGACGGGTGCAAAAAAACGCCCAAAAACTGCTTGGGGTTCTGGTCGACGGAGGACGAGGCGGTGGGGTAGTTTATAAGTAAATAGTTCATTGTCAGTATTTCAACTCAACACTCCAGAAGTACTGCCCCTTTCACTCCCACTGCCTTTCTCTTTATACGTCCATGGCCTTTCCCCGTACTCCCCAATGAGAATGGTGCTGTGGGGCCTGTAGGTCTGTAGCGAATAGTTTGAAGCTTCATTCATAACTTTGACATTTGAATTATTATTATCTAGGTCCATACATTTTCTAAACGCTCCATCTTCTTTGTGCGGACACTCTGAGCTTCTAGTTGAAAATCTCTGAACTTTTGAGAAAGACGCCCTGTCAACGCTTTTCTGCTAGTAAAAAATACCCATCTCTAAGTAAACCATCTCTAGAAGATCTGGTCCAACAGTCTAACAGGCTAAGAGTGGCTCCAGCAGGTTAAGCTGCAGATCTTCTTTAATGAAACACAAGGAGGTGAGGTTTTCTAAAATCATGCAGGTAGTATTTTTCATTTAACCTACCTTAGTACAGCTGCATCCCCACACAGCTGTTTTCAATTCTGATCGTTTTTGGTTGCTCTGAATGGGCTGTCGGTAGATGTGTCTCACTGTGCGATGTAAGGCCACCGATAATCGATGACCAACGATGACCACATTTCTCTCATGGTTGTCAACTTTTATCTGGGACGGATCAACATTTCACGGTTTGCAGGGGCCTTTCAAGACAAATGCTGACACTTTAAAAAGGGCAATTTCATTCAAGGTTTGCACAGTATAATGTTTGCTTTAGTGAGCTAAGTCGGGACTACTGTGCATGTCTTCATTTGGCTACACTTGATCAATCTTTAAGACTGTCTGTGGTGGAATATTCCCGGCCTACAGCTTAGAAATAGTGGCTGTATTAGTTGTCACTGTGAAAGTGACCCCTGCTTGTGTTTTCTACAGCTCTTAACCCTCTGAGCCACAAGCAGTTTCAGGGCGTTTTTTTGCTCCTGTCACATTTGACTCTTTATGGCTTTGATTTACACTGCAATCTATAAGTCCTGCACCTCTATGGAAACGGCACAATCATGGCTAGAAGTAGAGAGAACTCAAAATGTCTTTAGTATAACACAGGAAAACAATGGAATCTACATACCCAACATTTCAAGTGTCCACAAATGTTACTTTTATAGGCTCTGTTTTTAGTTTAGAAACCAACCTCACATAGCATTTTTCTAGGTGTAACATCTGTGCTGTGATTGTGATGCTTGCATTGCATTCGTTACAATACCGAGCTTAAAG